TCGAATATCTATCACAAAAGATCAAACTTTTCAACAATAATTTTCATAAAAAGTGAAATTACCAGTGAATCAAACTCCACATATCTCAATATTTCTCTTCATAATATAGTTAAAGTGAATATGATATATATCGGGTCACTTCCGGTTCCTTCCAGACAAACGGCCTTTATTAAAAATATTTATATATAAATTATACAAATTAAGCGTGTCGAACATGTAAACCTTTAAATCGAAAAACCTGATCTAGAAAGAGAAGTGCACAGGTATAAGAGAGAGCCTCTAGATCAACAGGCCTATCAAGCGGGACTAAATAGTATTCACTCTAATGCGGTCTCAGAAGTCAATGAAGGATATAGAGTAAATACTGTGCTAGAAGACCATCTCCCTCCCAGCTGAAGTACGAGCGCTGCCCCGACAAACCCGATCAATTACTATCCGGATGGTGCAGCCGCCGATATTCCTATTGGGTATTACTCAATTTCATGATTTCTATTCAATATTTATTCATTTTCTCAAAAACAAGTAATGTTTGAAAGTTAATTATATACAGCTTTACATATTTCCTGCAATCAATCTGAGCTATATTCGCCTAAATATTTTTCCTTTGCCAAAGACGTTTCTAACATTTTACAAAACTAAACACGATCACTGAACATGTCAAATGCCACATACAAACGTTCGGTCTGTTGTATTGTGGTAAAGTTTTCCATTGCTGAGCTTTCCTTTCCGTCAAGTAGTCCTGTCAACAACTCACTCACACTCCAGTGGTTAACTTACTTTAGAAATATTCTGGCAGGTTCTGGCATTTTGCACTTGCAGACATGTGAATTGCACGTACAGATGTACGTTTGTATGAACGTACCCACACATCCACACATCCGTGTACACACGATTGCATGCCCATTGCAAAAAAAAAAACGAAAACTATTCCAATAAGTGATGTATACGACTAATTGCTTTGTATTTACAATGAATCCACCGCGAGCGTGCGATTGTACGAAAGGCACGAAGTCTGAATGAATTGAACTGTGCCTGAGTGGCGAATGAATGGTATTCGTCTCGCAGGATTTTGGTGTTAGTTTCCATTTATGTGCATATTTTGTTATTGTTGATTCTGTATGTTCACGTTGAGACCTACAAAATACATACATGTATCCATCCAGGCGTTCGGTCGTGCACACAAACTCATTCATGGCAGAAAAGTATTTGCAGTTGCCTTTAAACCTCATTGATGTTTTGTGCGAAATCGTTCCGTCACCTCCGGCCAGTATTCCGCACATTCATTTGTTGATTTGCACACCCTGACGGCGCGTTATTTGTTTAAGCCATTAACTCTGGCCGCACATTCAAAAGGTTCATATGCTAATTAAAATTCCATTGGAATTTCATTGTGCAATCTGCCGCCACCGCCGCCGTCACCACCGCCCCATCATCGGCACAAAGAGCATAAACAATATGCTCTGCTATATTTTTACCATTTTTGGTTTACCGGGCAATTTTTAGTTTCAAACATATCCGAATGTTGTTATTTGCCACTTTAACAATGTTACAATTTCACAATAATGACGAGGACGACGACGACGTTGATGATGATGATGATGGCAATGCTGCAGAGGCATTGTGGCAACCACACATATACACATAAAAATACAAATACACATACATATGTTACAAATGCGCACACAAACGTGTGAATTTAATTAACTTGTGAATTTTTGACTGTAACAACAACAAAAACAATATAGAGCAAATGATTTGTTATTTGGCATGTGCCAACAATTTGTACAAAACAATTTAGCAATTTTTGGTAGCAGCTCTCCTTCATGTTGTTGTTGCTATTGTATTTTCGTTTTTTTTATTATTTTTCAAAATAAAGGCAAACATACAATTTATGAATTTGCTTTGGGAAAATATATGGCTTTGTAGAAACATGATAATGGCAAGAATAAAAATATTGATAACAATAGCGTTATGAAAAATTACCATAAATTTGGAGTGGTTAGCTTATGGGGATGGTGGTCATCCCCTTACTCGAAATATATATTTTTTAAAATATCAAAATCAAAATTTGTACAATTTAAGTTGCAATTTTCAATTCATGAATGCAATTGTTAGTGCATAAGTTGAGTAACTTTAGTTGCATTAGTATGGGTCAAGAAAATCGGTCAAAATTTTAGAAAAAGAACAACAATTGACCTTTCGTCGGTTTCATACTTAAGTGCTCCACGCGCCTAAATTGAGAAGAATACATTTTAAGGTCTTCATCTCGAATTTCTTAGAACTAACGGAAAACATTTGTGAATAATACAATACCACTTTCAGTCATGTGTATGTGTAGACCGAAAATAAATTTTTAAAGTATTTAAATATTTATTTAATTACAAATAAACTCGAAAATTCAGTGTTTTCTTGTAATTTTTCGAAAATTAGAACAGATAACGGAAGGAAATCGGACAACAATTTCTGGAATACTTTAAGAATGACGTATATCTCAACGACGATTAATCAAATCGTTTAGCCGATCATATACATTTAAAAAATGTTTATGAAAACCTAAAATACTGAATATCACTGTTCAACGATTTGGAGCTCCGTGTCCTTAGATGATATTCCTTGGTGATTACCTTCAAACCCAAAAAGCCAAATCTTAGCATAGGCCAAGTGTCCCAGTTATGGCGTGATGAATTTGTTGATGGTCATGCAATATTGTGTGAGCAAATAGAGCTATATCTCTGTGATGATTCAACAGTTTTTACCCTACACCGCACTGTGGTACAGGATATTATGTGTTTATGCATTTGCATCTATTTCTCCTAGTTCCATTTAGTTATCTCCAAAAAATAACATTCTGTGTCGATTTATATATGTCTATCTATCCGTTTGAGACTAAACTTTTTTCATTTGATTGACCCATGAACCAAATGCGTAATATCTAACCAAATAAAATGCATTTTGGAAGAAATGACCAAACTCAGTCTAGAAGAAAATTTTATAAATTTTGATGAAAGTTGGATCAGAGTTAGATATGGGTCCCATTCATATTTCAATCTACTTTGATATAAATAATGGCCCAATCATGAAACGAATATTTGATTTATAGCTATATTCTGACTAGAAAAATGTCTGCCATGCTTCATCGATCGATTCCGATATAGTCCGCACATATACATGTTTCAACCAATTTTTAGTTAGAAATGAGAAGGAGAATATCCCCATATAACTGTACCTCCCGATATTCGGTATTTTGATGATTTTAGGGACATTTTTCACCAGAAGTTCTTCAAATTTGTTATTTGAAGTTCGTAATGGATACTACAGTCTAAGACAGAAAATTGTCTGTGCAGGTCCACGTCTTCGTATAGCCCCCATATAACGGTACCTCCTGATATTCGGTATTTTGATGGTTTTAGCGACATTATTCACCGGAATTGTTTCAAATTTTGTCTTTGAAGTTCGTAATGGATACTACAACCTAAGACTGAAAATTGTCTCTGCAGGTCCACGTCTTCGTATAGCCCCACATATAACAGTACCTCCCGATATTTGGTATTTTGATGATTTTACCTACATTATTCACCGATTTTTTTAAGATTCGCATTTGAATATTGTAATGGTTTATGACAAAAGTTTCCTATGCAGGTCCATTTCGTCGTGTAGACCCTAATTCGGTAGCGGGCTCTGCCGAACATACATCTTTTTTACTTGTTTCTTTTCCTTACTGGTTATAAATGTTGTGAGGGAATTGTAAATCTGTAAATTATTGCGCGTTTAATTTAAAATTATCGGGTAGGGTTGCACAAAGGGTCCATGGGTATTGTCCATTTTAATATTTTTATAAACCTGATACAGACATTACATGATGTGCAAAATTTATGTAAATCAGGTACTCCGTTAGTTTTTTACGACAGATTTGACATTTTAATTCTTTCATAAAGAGTTACCGGAAGGACAGGTCCACTCCTTCCCATCTTCGAACACGACATTAGTTTCACATAAATTTGTTCACTATTCGATACCTAAATCAGCTACAAATGTCTTTTCACGGCTAATATATAACCTCTGCACTCGTATCAAGGATATATATCCCGTATTTTTCAAAAAATCTGTCTATGAACTTTACACTATAAGAGGATATCGTTATATCGCGCATATAGTCTGTTTGACTGTGTTTATCGCTTTATCTTTTGTTCCAAGTTCGAAGTGGGTTGTATTGACCCACCTTGCCACCCACCTTGATATATAGCGGTAGTGCTCAATTTAAGATATGCTCTTCTTGCATCCATCCTCCATTCACAGCCGAAATGCTATTAATTAGGGATGCACAGGGTGGAGGGTATATCCATTTTTTGTTTTTTTTTTTTTTTTGAAGTCTATTTGAAATAATCAGAATAAAATGCTGAGACGATCTGTTCCTATTTTTAGAACTAATTGGTCCATTTTCACTAATGCCTATATATACAAGATATTTAACCCTGATATACAAGATACAATGTTCTCTCCACGAAAAGGTACGGGCTGGAATAACAAAATTCAATATCTCTTCTATGTGAGTTCCTTTAAAGAAATGTTCCAGTGGGAGAAACACGTGGAGAAAATTGTCATGTACACTTATTGTGAACAGTTAGCTGGAAAACGCCCTAAATATACTTTTTTAAGTTTTGTTTCAAAGGGGTTGAAGAGTGAGTTAAAGACTACTCTCATTGGATTTGCAAATTATAAACTTTGGGTAGTTGATAATTGCCCGGTCGTTTATTAGGCCATCATATTCTAATTCCCATTAATTCTCAATTCATGTTATATCGACTTACATAGCTTTCATTTTCATTCGCTTTAATCACTTTCCAAGATATTGGCCTTTATTGGTCTGTCTGTCTTTCATTTTATTTTTTTTTTTTTCGTCATTCCAGTGACTCCTACTGATATTTCTTTTGAGGCATAGAAAAAACAAACGAAAGATACTAATTGCATTCTTCTTCGTGTTTTGCTTTTATCTTTTACAGTTATTACAGACATTTCCAGGCATTTTAACAACAAGTCGATGTAACGTTACGGGATTTGAACAATTACTCCCGCAGCAGTGTTCCAGACAAGTTCTTCATATCGGTTTGGTGTTTTTTTCTCTCCCTCTTCTTGGCGAAAATAATGTGTTTAATTGAATGTAAGTAATAAAGTTTTATAATACACCCAGTTTTCTCTGGAACTTTTTTTCTTATTTGGTGTTAAATTAGCCGGAAACGCATTTTACACATTTTATTTAAGTTATCTTCTCTTACATTAGCAAGTTTTCGCGCCAAAGTGTAAAGTAGAATTTAATTAATTATTTGCCATCGTTACTTTGTTGAGTTTCCAGGAACTATTTTTGATGGTTGATATTCATTACAAAAAGCCTTTAATAGGAACAAACAATAAACGTAGCAAATAAGACAAGGTCGGATTTTATTCTGCCTTTTTAATCACAGTGATGTGCATAAATTCATATCCACATTTTTATACCCTACACCACATAGTGGTCAAGGTATTATGTATTTGTGCATTTGTTTGTAAATGGAGAAGGAAACAAGATAGACCCATAGTTCATTTTGATGATCTGCATAGAATCACATTCTGAGTCGATTTATGCATGTCCGTCCGTCCGTCTGTCCGTCCGTCCTCTGTCCATGCATTTTTGTGAACAAAGTACAGTTCGCATTTATTGCCCTATCCAGATGAAATTTTGCACAAATCATTTGTTTGGCCCAAGGACGAACCCTATTGAAATTGGATATCGGTAAAAAATTAGATATAGCTCCCATATATATCTTAGTCCGATTTGCCTTTTATTGTGCACCAAACGTTTAATATCAGCCCGAATAGTATGGAATTTTGCACATACAACCAAATTAGGCCTGAAAATAAGTATGCCAAATTTGATCGAGATCGGTTCGGATTTGGATATATTTCCCATATATTACTTCGTCCGATTTACCTTTTATTGCGCACCAGACATCTAATATGAAAATGGGATGAAATTTGGCACTTACGACCGAATTGAGTGTAGAAGCTAGTATGTCAAATTTAGTTCAGATAAAGCTATAGCTTCCATATATATTGTTCATCCGATTTGTTACCCACAGCCGTAATATGCACTCCGTAACAACGGTATTCAGGAAAATATAGGAAATACAGCTCAGAAATATATTTGCCAAATTTTATCAAGATCGGTATCTGGGCAATACAAGTCCGAATTTAAAAGATACAAATGCTTCGCCATATTTAGTCCTTTGAACTTTTAATTATAATTATAATCATAGCGTGTATGATTGAATTCTCCCATAAAAACTTTTAATTGTTATGTGGAGCTCTACTAAATTAGCAAAGTGGTATAGGGTATCATAAAGTCAGCCCCGCCCAACTTTAAGACTTTCTTTACTGGTTATACATGCCCATTTAATATAAAATTCTAAAATTTTTAATTTATAATTTATAATTTTAATTCTCATTGCCCTAAACTTACCATCAGTTGTCCTTCACCAGATCTAAATATGGGAAAACAATTTCAGCTCAGTGTCTGTTGACATGAGAGGTGTCGTATTATGCAATTCCATAAAAAGCATTTCAAATTGAATTATTTCCAACAAAATTATGATTACGGAAATTGGATTTGGACATATATCTTTTAAAATTCAATGGCAAGACAGGTCAATGCTCAGCCTAAGCGTTTCCTCCACATACATACATATACATATTTTTTTATTGTTCCTTAAAACTTTTGCCATGACTTTTACTTTCCTTCGCAAGATGTATAAACAAATGTAACTATATCTATTTACAACAAATATATGTGAAGCTTTTCGGCGATAAAAATATTTTGCTCTAGTTCTTCGATGTTTTACTTTTCTGGGAATTGAGAGACGGGAAATGTTTTATAAATATATTTCCAAAAGGAATTTTTTCTTGGAAAAATCAAAACTTGAAATTTCTGGCATTTATTAATATAGTCAAGGTGTGAAGTTCGTTAGCAATAATTTAAGCTGGCGAACTTAAGTGTCATGTCTTAAATACTTATAAATTAATTATTTTAATTTATTTATTTAAACATTATCAGAAAACCATTGAATAATTTTAACACTTATAATTTTTAACAATCCAAAATTCCAATACAGTTGTAAAATGCAACTTCAACACAATCTTTTTCGTATCCGGGATTCCAGAGTCATATCCGAAACCAAAATTTTCTGCAATCGGTTTCAATTCGGGTATAGATCCAATATACAACTTCCTCGTACTTACGTTTAACGAGCACCAAAAATGTAATATATTGTCAGACGGAGCTTGGAAAAAGTTTAGAGAAAAACATCGAAAAAAAAAAACAACAAAAGCAAGCACACTATCATATGCGAGACGGGTGAGCATATTATTCGTTTTTGAAGATTAAAAAAATGGTTATGAAGAACGCTTAAGTGCATATATAGTCACACAAAGTCTCTTTGTGTTCATAACGTTATCTTTTGTCCGAAGTTCATGGTGGGATGTATTAATATATCCTTTGGCATAGTCCTATGTAGCGGTAGTGTTAAATCTAAGATTTGCTCTTGCATTTTAAAGATTGTAACTGAATTTTACACCTGAAATGCCTTAAACTGGGGATAAAAAGGGTGGTGCGAATCTTAATTTTACTACTTCGTTTAGTCTATTTTTATTCGTTTTTGTAGATTGAAAAAATGTCCCTACCAACATATAAAACTGGGATATTAAATAACCTAACAGAGTGAGTTCGATAAATCGATTACGAGCAAAGCTCATACTCTCTTCTTCAAATGGTATAGCCAATTTAATATTCTCAATATCTTTTTATTCGCAGAGGTACTCCCGCTCGAATTTGAGAGAGTTTCACTCATGCTCGAATTGGGGCAATTGTCTCTGAGCTCCGTAATAAGATGAGATGAGTTTTGCTCATAATCCGAATTCTGAAAATCGGTTCTCATATAGCTATAGAGCTCAGCAATGTCAGCTATGTTTTCTACGAAACATTAATACGTTTTAAATAATACCTCTTAGATGAGATTTGAATATGGCTGCAATATATCATTCTCGGATTTCATCGCAAAAAAACAAAAGAAAGGTAGCGCCCCATCAAAATGGGAACCCAAGGTACCAATTATATCTTATTTCTCTTGGAGAATATGGTCAACATCCTAAAATCGCTTGATTTCGCTATGGGAATCCAATACTTCAGCGTGTACCGATATATCCCATCTTAATATCCCATAAAACTTATGGATTTTTTTTCCCTCTATCCCAATTGGAATAGAAATACCACCCGTCGTTTGTAAAAATACATCGATATGCACCTAGACGGACATGGAGAAATAAAATGAAAGTCAGCAAAAATCTATATCGTGTGGTGTGGTGCTGGGTATAAAAATGGATGCATACAAATACAAATCTATATATTTTTCTGAAAATCCGTCTATTCCTCTTGCTCTGTGCATTTGCAAGTTTGGACAGAGTGTCTATTTTCATTTCCCTTCCCTTCTTGTTATCCTCTATTATTAAAATCGGGTTTAAATATTTAAACTCATGCATAATTTGTTACAGCAACAACACCCTAAAGACTTTGTGCATTAAAATCGATTGCAATGCTTGACTCATATTTTCCGCCACTTCACTCCCGCAACCACCCATCCCTACCCTATCTCATACAACATCATCACATGTCTTGCACATTTCAATAAAATGAAAAGTTTTTCTTCAGAGTTTCATTTTTGTTTTTCATTGTTTTGTGTTTTGCGTTTGTTTTTTTGTGCTTTCTTGCTTCTGCTGTGCCACATCTTTCTTGAGAGTCATGTGGGATTGTAATAAATGTTTTGTATATTTATGTAAACTTTCATTTTCCACAATGGCAGTGCATGAACAATTCCCAACAGTCTTATTTAGAACACATTCGAATATGAAAAGCAAGGAAACCGAGAAAATAAAAAGAAGCCAAGAAGGAAAAAAAGAGTTCATCTTGCTGTTTGGTGGTATCTTCGTTCGTGTACACCACCATTGCCATCCGCAACAACAACATCAACACTCTGAACCACCTACGACGTTGTTGTCAAAAGACTACAAGAAAAGGCTGAAGTAGCTTCTTGGTGAAAAGTTCCAAAGGGAACCAAATCCAAAGCTTAATATAAGCGAAAGAAAAGTGTGCAGTAGTACTTAAGAATTGATATGATGTTTACAACCCAAATCCAGCATTGTAGGCCATTTCAACTTTTGAATAATTTTTACTTCGTCTTCGTTTTGAGAATATAAAGAAATATTTCGTTTTGTAAACAGAACAGAAAATGTTAACAGATGTCTTTGTTCTTTGTTATGCGCTTCTTGGTCGATATTCTAAAATTGCAATATGTTTTGGAGACACCACAAAGATTGAAGTAACAAATATTAACATTTAATAAGGAAAGGTATTCTGTCATCACCTTTCCTTATTAAATGTTAATATTTGTTACTTGTTACATGACCAACGTCGCCCAAGTTCCTCTTGGATATCTTGAACAGTCTGTTTTCGTATGTTGTACCTCCACTACGAATTTCTCAACCCCCAGACAATATTGGTTAGGAACGTGGACCAGCGAGGTATCGTTTTGTGGGGACTTTACCGAAATATATACATATGTTGAAATTGTTCTGTAAGATGTTTCTTTTCCCCCAAAGTAGCCAAAATACAAATTGTATCGAAGTGCAAAGACCCCTTGAAATAGGTCAAATCAGTGTGGGCGCTACACCGGAACATTGACCTACATGTAACATTTTATGTGAAGTAACTTTCTAACCCCTCAGGATGTTAAATAATGGTCAAATCAATTAAAAATGTGGCCAAGGCTCCAGAAATACCTGCAAACAGGGAATAACTTAATATGAGGGCTATACCTTAACGTGGAATTACATTGATAAATTTTTAATTTCTTCTTACAAGGAACTCAAACTAACAACATTTTCCGGAATTAATTGAAAATTTTGGCTAAACTGTAAAAAAATACTTGAAACCGGGATATGCCTTTATAAACGTAGACCGACAGAGGCCTGTATCTAATTTTCCGAATATATAATGGGGCCTAAAAGCAGTTGGACTGGGATAACTAGATCTTTTTGAGATTATGATCAACCAACCGAATACTATCACCTCCAACC